CAATTTTTCCCTTAGGACACGTCAACTCAACTTTTACCTAAACTGTTACAAAGGCCCCCCGGGGTGTATACGGCGGTTGGCGAAAGGGAGTACCTAGAAAGTACGTCCGCCCTCTGCCGTCACTGCCCAGTTCAGCCAGTGGAACCTTCTATGGCGCCTGATCGGTAGGCAACATCCTGCTTGCAGTGCACGCGTGCGCTGCGGGGTGGCCTAATCCGGGTTTCGCAGGCGCCGAGCTCCCCATAATTTGCCGAACGAATCTGGAGAAAAGAGCGGGCGCGTACTCTCCGGACGATCCCAAACTTGGCATCGGTCGGAAGTGTACTGCGCTAAAGGCTGGAGCCTCTGGCTGGAGCGAGCGGCTGTGAGACTGGTGGCTGGGCAGCCCAGTGGGCAGCGGCCGCGGGGATTAGCCGCGCACAGCGGCGCGCAGTCACAACAAGTTTGGTAATACCAAACGCCCTCCCGCTCGGCGAGCCGGGCCAGCGGGGGCGCCAGGGCCAGGGGGGCGGCTCTTAATTCAGTTTGTGTCGGGCAAACACTGCAGCGGGGTGGGCGGAGGCGGGCTGCAAGCTGCACGGCTAGTTCACCAGGGCGGCGAGTGGGGCCTGGCCCTCGCCAGCAGCACCACCCGGGGCGGGTGGGGCGCCCAAGCAGGGGTCCGTAACGAAATAATGCGGTACAACCACTTTTTCGACAATATCTTTTAGATGAAGTCATTAATCTTGACATACTCGGGCTCGTTTGATAGGCGAGTTGGTGCGTCAAAAGGGCCCTTAAATATGATTTGCGATCAAACTGTTCCTTATGCCAGAAATGGGCTCGTTACAGTTTTCGGTAACGTACCAACAAAAAATTGCCGGATATTCAAAAAAAAATATCCAGATGTTCCACAAATATTCCAGATATTCCATGTACACCAAAATCAATAAGTGACCCCTTGAGAGTCCCTCAAATGAATTTACTCCATACCAGGGAAAATTATGCCCACGGAAATAAATCTATTTTGCCAAAGCAGCACTGGCAGTGCGAGATACCTGGTGGTTGGGGGGATGGTAGAGGACATATAGTATGTCGAGGATAGAGCGAGGATGAATTAACCCGACCAAAGAGGAGGGGGGGGGGGTGGCGGGGTCATACCGAGTGAAATTTTACTCTGGTGCCACCACGCGGACTGCGGACAGGTCGGGCGACTCTCGGCGTTCTAGACTAATTTAATTTCGAGCTTCCTCTCTCCCTGGCCACCCAAATGCAGCCCCGGGGAAAACGGAATGTGAGGGGGGAGAGAAGAGCGAGACGACCGAATAAGAGAAGTAAGGATATCTTCGCTCGGTCGCCATACCGAGTGCATTGCTAATTTTGGGTTCTTTGCTGAATCTAACACTATGGTCTAGCCGTCCAAATATTCTCTGGTCAATTTTCTTGCCAAAAAAGGGCGACATTTCAAACCCGCCCTCTTTTCATTTTGATCTGTGAGCCAGAAAAACACCACCTACTTCGTCTCCCTTTGGCTGCAGCGTCCAGGCCGAGATCTTGGTATGGCCCTTTCTTCCGCGGATGCAAAAAGGTCGGCGCCAACGCGTCGGAACAACCCTCCCCCACCCCCACCCCTTCCTCCCCCGTCCCCTCGGGGTCCCGGCCAAGACGAGCAGACCCAGGGGGTCTATTCAGTTAATTTGCTTGTCATGTTGCTGTCCTCGGCGTCTGCCTAATTGGAGCAGCATCAACCCCCAGGGGTGGGTGGCGGTAGGGGGGTAAGGGCCGGAGGCTGGCGGAGGGTTACTCTGTGAATGCAGCCCGACCCCACTAGTCAATCCATGCGAGCCGCGACACAACCAACGGCATCGCCCTCGCCGACCGCGGCGGGCTCGGGGGTGGCTGGCGTGGGCGGCTGCGGCGAGAGTCCTAATGGCCTGTTTTCATTCGCTCAATCCGTGCGACTCCCACTCGCAGCCCGATGTGCCGCAGTGCACGTGCACGGCCCGGGACCGCGGTGGTGGAGGTGTCAGCGGCACGCTAGCACTAGGGTAGTGCCCCCGCCGCCGCCGCCAATATTTGGCGTTTTTCGGAGAAGAACGCCAATATTTGGCGTTCTTTAAAGGACGCCAATAATTTGGCGTTAAATGACGCCAACCATTTTA